AAAACCTGCATGGTAACCATGATTCAAACTCCATCCTCAACACAGCTCTGTGGGTCAAACTGCACCATTTTGTTTTGTCAAAGCATTTGCAATTTACCTCATTTGTTTTTTCCTTCAGCGTCTGCACCAACAAACATTTTGAAGAAATGCCTTGTACCACTGGCCGGTTGGGGTTGCAGGCCTCAAGTCAATCTGTATGAATTCTGAGGGCTCAGTAGATTGAGGTAGTTCCACTAAAAGAGTTCTCTCTTTCCTTTGAGGTAATTTCCTTTCTTGACAGGTAGGACAGGAAAATGTTCAGTCCTTAACCTCTGTAACAAAAAAAAAGAAAACAGATCTGATGTGCAGTTCAGTGTCTGCAGGAAGCCTCCTGCTTTGTGAACATGAAAGCACTGTGCTGTTATTTGAAAGCTTCCTAGCAAGACAAACCTGTTACCCTCATACAGCAGCAAGTTGGTGGTCATATCAGGAGTTAATAGTTCTTCAGCTCCACTGAACCTCTCCAGCCTGGGCCTCCTTTGGCAGATTCGCTGACACATCAAGAATAACTGAAGATTCTGATTTGTTCTAGTCCAGTCTAAGTCTATTCTCACTGCCCTCATGTGGCTGAGAGCATCTACAGCTAGTTTGCTTTCCAAGTTTATAATGAACTGTAAAGGCCTATTCAGACATGGCCAGTTGTGAATCACTGTGGTCTGTGTACACTGGCAGCATCTACACGAGATGCTGACTGCGCAGCTGTTACTGCACAGTCATTTAGTACTTGCATACACTGCTCAGTGTATGCATCACCATACAGATTTTTGGTGACACTGACTGGCAGTAGCTTGTTACTGCTGCACAATAGCTTGTAACTACTGTGCAGTAGCTTTGTGCCACACAATGCTCCTATGCAGGAGTAACAAGGTCCTGTGCAATAGTAACAAGTTCTTGTGCAGTAGTAACGAGCTACTGCATGGTCAGCATCTTGTGTGGACACAGCCACTGTGTATACCAAGTAGAGTTGGAAAATTAGCCTTGAGGGCCCTCAGAATAACCAGACACTCCAATTTTGTCCTGAATACTTGATTTTCTCTCTCATTTCATTTTCATCTCTGAATGTATGTAGTCTGTGCCTACTAAGCTTATTGATCTGGTCAAGTGCAAATCCAACAGAAACTTTGAAACATCACAGATTTCCACAAATGGACAGGCAGGATTTAGGTATGTAAGTACGACTTAGTTCAGATGTCCTTCCCTCAGTTGTTCAAGAGCTTTTGGAGTTCTGCTGTCCAAAATGATCTCTCCTTATCTGGTACAACTGGTTATGCAACTCTGTAGAATCTGTAGAAGCCTACAAACTGCTGTACCTTCTTTTGGTGTTTTGTTGAACTTTCCAGTCTCTTATAGGTACTTGGGGCTGATGTTCCAACCTATCCCACAATAGCTCCAAATTCTGTAACCATTTCTGCACCTAAATAGCATTTACCGAGCTGCATCAGTGCTATTTTTGGCACTTATGCACAGTTCCTGATACTTTTACCTGTGCAGTATGGGTACATAAGCATCTGCATGGCTACTGTGCATGCTCAGCAGACTACATGCTGGTCTAGTAGGTATGTGGCTGCGCGGAAACATCCTAACTATTCTCCATCCTTTTTATCCAGTGACTGTTATATGCAATTGAAGCAGCTGGCCACCGCTAACCTGTTAAAGCACTTTGCTGGGAAGCCTGAGAGCGTGAATGGCACCTGCCCTGGCAGCTGGTGGGGCATGGTTGCGTCGGTGGGAGCCCAGTGGTGGGAAGCGGGGAGCTCCCACAGACGCTGCTGGAGCTGTTGGCAGGGGGCGGCAGCGTGCAGGGGCGGTCAGGGACCGCCTACAGATGCTGCCAGCAGTGGGGTGGCAAGCGGCAACTGAACATGGTGCCTTTTTGCAGGGAGTGCACCGCCACATGTAGGGGGTGCACATGCACCCATGTGCACCCGCTATGCATTGCTTCTGCTTGCAAGATATAGATTCAAATGCCCCCTGGGTTGGTGGGGCCTAGAATATGCATCTCCTGATTTTTAGACAAGTACCCTAACTACTCAGTTGGCAGGATTAAAACACAAGGAGATCCTTCTTCCGTTTGTCTCCAGGATTCATGCCTAGTTATATGTGTAGATAGGTGTGTAGGTGTCTGGATAATGCATAGCCTCCTGAGCATGCTTAGGATGCATATAGACACTTACCTGCATGGGTAATAGAATTGCAACCCGGGTATAAGTGCCATTTAGGCACATAAAACATAATAGAATTCTGCCCTGTATGTTTCAGGAAGGTGAGTGAATTCCTTACAACTGAGGAAATGTCAAGTTTAAACTCTGGTTCCTCCAACAGCTTTACAGTCCTTTCCATTCCTCCCATCTGCTCCTGACACATTTTATGGAAATAAATGAAGCATGAACAGCACGTGCCCCCAGTGGCTGGGGGGACATGGCAGCAACAGGAACACGGCAATGGTGAGTGGGGAGCTCTCGCAGACGCCACCGGCACTGTCAGTGGCAGGGAGGGGAGGGTTGGTGAGCACTGACCATGGGTTGGCAGCCACCCGCAGGTGCTGCCAGCAGCAGCAGTGGCAGCCAGGGGTGATCATAGACCACCCACAGACTATGGTGAGTGGCGACTGCCTGCAGGCGCTGCCAACAGTGTCGGTGCCTTTTTGCAAGGGGTGCACTGCCACGCGCAGAGGGTACATGTGCACCTGCATGCACCCTCTACGCGTCATCCCTGAAATGAAGCCTTCTAAATACTTAAGGATGTCCTCAGTTCTCAAAACTTGGGCAAGATTATTTACTACTTGCTGGAATATGCCCAGTGTATGTGTTACACCAAAAGACATCCTGCAGTTGCTTACTAGTCTGCAGGGGACCACGCGACCAGCTTGATCTGTCAGTGCCATAATTTGATGGTATCCAAGTAACAATTCAAAACTGCTAATATATGTTGCTATTAACATTTTGTCCAGGTATCTCCAATGTTACTAGTTATTACTCTTTATTTGTTGTTAATTTTTAAAAAATAACAGCTATTCTGAACTGTCAGTGACTTAACTTTCCTGTAGTCAAAGCTTATATCATAGCGCAGGCGCAGGCAATTATTTTTGGCGGAGGGCCACTTACTGAGTTTTGGCAAGCCATCGAAGGGCACATGTCAGACAGCCAGGGGCAGATAAGTATTAATTTTCCAAATTTTTTAGGGGTCCCACGGGCCAGATGGAATGGCCTGGTGGGCTGCATCTGGCCCATGGACTGCATTTTGCCCACCCCTGCCATAGCATGTGTTTTCTTACAGGCTTTCTAACAGTTGGACAGTTATGGATGTCCAAAGTGAGCTAGATTGCACCATCAGACCAGTCTCCACCACCCAATTTAGCTTCTTTTTCTTTGTTACTTGATATTTCAGGAACATTTGACATGGAAGAACACTTCCTAGTTTATGCACAATCCAGTGCTTCACTGTATGACATCTCCCAAGCTCATTATCCTTGCAGAACATGTTAGTGTACCATAAGAACAACTGCTTTAATCACTAACTTTCTTTTCCTTCTCTGATTAAGTTTAAGTCAAGCCCCAGCTCTTTTGCTGACTGGACGCCTTCATAACCCTAACACTGGTCTCTGTGAGTAGCTTTGAGACACCAGCTGCAGTGGGCACTCTTCCCATTATCTGATTTTTCTCTAGGTGCACCTTCTGGTCAGTTCTATTACTTTGTTTCCTGCTTGCAACACACACCTTTTTATCCAAAGATCAGCCCCCCAAAATTGGGATGCATGTAGTAAGCAGGGAAACTAATCTTCCATCTGGGATAGAAACATCTTACTTTGATTCCTGCTTTTCAGTGCAGCAGCTATGGCATTACTATTCAGGCAGCTGAGAGAGTCAATTGACTTGAATGGCTCATTGTCTTCACTCTACAGGTGTTAATAATCATTTCTCTGTTTTAATGGTTTTGATGTTCCAATATACAAACCAAGTTTTCTTAGGGAAATGTTGCTGTCTGCTAGCTGCTTTTGGTCTCTGTCCTCCTGTTTCACAGCTCTGGAGACTCCTTAGCTCTTTCCAAATCATAGATCCACCCATGGAGACCAATCTTCAGCAGCTAGTGTTTCAGCTTCAGTTAAGCAGTAAAGGGAGGGTGAGTCAGATGAAGATTAGGTTCTGTCCCTGTTTTTTGCAGCCATAAAAATCTGTTATTTTTCTTTGGTTCCACCTTTGAAAAATGAAGTGCACATTATATTCCAGGGCATGTTGTATGCAAGAAAGTACAGCAATTGCTCTTTCCCAGAGGTCATTCTTTATTTAGTCTAAAACAGAGTTTTGCAAACCAGTAATCCTGCCTGGATGTTTGTGATGCCAAAGAATCCTTATAGATTCACTGCAACAGTTCTTCTCTGTAGGGATATTATTGCATGATGACATGGTTTTACCACAACTTTATTACAATTTACCTCTGTCAATTGGTGCAGGCACCTTTAGGTGGGGGCATGACAAGCCAAGATGGCACCTGGGGCAATCTGAGGAAGAGTATATGTATGTGTGTGGGGGGGGGAGGTGACTGGGGGGACATATGGTTTTGAGTGCAGGGGGTAGGTGCAGGGCATGTGTCCATGATTTGAGGTGGGGGCGGAAGCAGTAGCTTTACCAGTGCTGGGAACTTCTAAACAGTCCTGGCTGAGCTGTTGCTGCTGCATGCTCTCCCCAACCCAGCTTTGTTGCTCTTAAAGCAATAGCAGTTGGGAACTCTTTTAAAATTCCTGGTCTGGCGATACTGCCAGAGCACAGACTCCATGGGGACAGAGGGCAATTCTCGTGCTCTTTCTAACTTGGCATCTGGGGCTGATGCCCTTTTGCCAACCTCTAGTTACGCTAATGCCTGTAAGGCCTCAATGGTCACCATGCTCCCACCCCCATCCTACCCATGTCCAGAATGGCTATCTGGAATATTGGCTAGGAACGTATTTGTTCTGTTAACACCCAAAGAGTTCTTGTGATCACCCTCAGATTAAATCTACTGCCAGAACACCAACATCAGAAATACTAGTCACTATTAACACAGTGTGACACCCCCTGAGTGGGGGAAGCTGCGTGAAAAGAGTCCAAGTCCAAAGGGGAGTTGTCTTCCTCCAGTAGTCTGTAGGGGCTTATTAACAGTTACTGATTGAACTTGTGCAGTGCTAGTTTTCTAACCATTTAGCATTGGCTGTTTTCTGTGTCTCAAGCTATTTTAGATCCTTAATTCCATACCACTGTGGTCTTCTAGATACCAGTGTCTATAGACGTATAGGAACAAGTCTCTGGGTATTTCTTCACATGTACTGTTCTAGTAGTTGATAGTGGTGGCCTAATTGCACCCACAGATTCTGCTTTCTAAGGTGTGACCCCTCTGCTCGGGCAGTTCTGCAACCACTGGCTTTTTTTTTCCATGCTGCCTGAAAATATAATCTTGCATAGGACCAATTCAGAAAATGGTCTCTCACATCTGACCTCTAGGACACTTGTGAATAGCTCTCATCTTGGCATACCCTGTTTCTCTAGCCACATCACTAGTAATATTTTGAAGTATATCAGCTATAAAGGAGTCACCCTGAGGATTAAATTAAGAGCTGATACTTTAAGGAGACCTGCCTCTACATGTGAAAATCTGATAGACACTTTTCTCCAGTATGTTTTTCTCCTTCACCTGTGAGTTATGAAGTTTTCCTATTAAATCACTTATAAATGGAGTTTTCATATAGAATTCTCACATGGCTGCCAGTGGGTTTATTGCTGTCTCCCCAATCCTTGGTCCATGTTTAAGTGCAAGCAGCTTCTGTTTCACTGCAGGCCCTGTCTGATCAGGGTGCTTCAGGGAAAGCCCCATCAAAAAGCCCCCTCAGTTCATATCAATAACTATACAGGAGTTCTCTACCTGCTGGCTCCTGGCTTGTCTTTCTTTTCAGTCTTTCAGAATACTTAATCTGCCCTCACAACAGCTGTTTAGTATTTGTGGAAATATCTCAAGCCCTAGGATCTGCACTGGAAGCTTTAGCATCACCATCCAAAAGCGGTGCAAGATGCTGGGCTGCGTTCTGATCAGTCTGCATGTTCGCAGCGAGTGAGATCTTGGAATGGCATGTGCTCATTGAGCCTTGCTTCAGTTCCATGGTGAGTACCTTTCTTCTTGGGCAATGGTGCTTTGACATCTTAAAGCCACTACCACCACCTGAAACATTCACTTAATGAAATGAAAGGGTCCACTGGGGCACTGCAGTTGATAACATTATATAAAATGGCAATTTAGTGTTACGTGAGAGCACAAACACCACCTGCTGGTAGAGGCACGGGTTGCACTGATCATCACTGGACCTGCAGGTTTCAGACCAGCGTGTAGAAGGAAAGCTGTTGTTCCTAAGCCTGTCCACCCAGTGGAGTCCTGATCACAGAGCTGGAGAGACTTCCACAAGAGTTGAGGAAGGGTGTAGGGGGAGTATACTATTAGATCTGAGAGAATGACCAATTTTTCAGGTATAAGATGGATTAAAATTTTAAAGAGAAATTCTTTTAAGTCTACCTGAAAGGAAATATTTTTTCCCTCACTGAAATGGGAAAAACAACAGTAATATTTAAAAAAACTTAAATTTAGATCCATTTTGAAAAAAGGTTATTTCAATAAAAGCGTTGAGTTAAAAACAGTAAAACAAAGTTCTGGCATTTTATTAAAAATAGTTTGGCAAGCACCTTTTCAATAAATTCAGCATGAACCTGCAAATTGATTTACTTGACTCAAATCTTCAGTTTTTGGTGAATAAAGTATTTGATTTAAAATTTCTAGTTCTAACTAGTAGGCTTGTGCAAATAGGGAAGTATTCGATTTGGATTTGGATTTGGCCAATTCAGAGGACAGTGATTTGATTTGAAGATTCGGATCACTGTCCTGAATCAATTCAGCTGAATCAGCTTCAGAAGATCTGGCACCGATTCGGAGAGATTCGGTGATTTGGATCAGCTGGGGAGAGGCAGGCACAGCCGGGCAGCTGGAGGTTCTTCTGCGGCTCCTCTGGCTGTGCCTGCCTCTCCCTGGGTGGGGGAAGCTGCAGGAGAAGCCCCCATGGATGCCCTGCCTGGCCCCATCTCCTGCCTGGCCCCAGCCTAGTCCTGGCACTTAAACAAAAACAAAAAAACTCTGTACTTACTGGCTGCAGGAGCAGTGACTGGGGCCTCAGGGTGCTCATGGCAGAGTCTGCCCCCCTGCACAGCATGGGGCAGTGGGGGGCAGTGGGGATTGCCCCGCCCGCTTGGCACCAGTGTGGCAGTTGCGCCATGGCGTGGGTACAGCGCATTTCCGCAGGGTGCTGCGCACTGTCTGGGAGCTGGGGCCGTGTGCTGTTGGGCTCTGGCTGGCTGCTGGAGCTGCCCCAGCTCCCAGTGCCCTGCCAAGCTCTGCTGCACCTGCATGATGCGACAAATGCCGCCTGGGTGCTGCATGGGGGGGCTCTGCCATGAGTGCCCAGAGGCCCCAGTTGCCACTCCTGCAGCTGGTGACTATGGAGCTTTAGAAAACCAAACCAAAACAACAACAACAACAAAGCCCGGTACTTATTGGCTCTGGAAGTGGTGATTGGGGCCTCTGGGCGCTCATGGCAGAGCCCCACCATGCAGCGTGGGGAAGTAGGAGACAGCAGGGATCACCTCCCCTTGGCACCTGCCCCATGGCGTGGGTGCAGCATGGCTCAGCAGGACACTGCGCGCTGTCTAGGAACTGGGGCCTCACGGTGCTGGGCTCCAGCTGACACGTGGAGATGCCCCAGCTCCCAGACAGCGCGTGGCACCCTGCCAAGCAGCGCTGCACCTGCGCCATGGGGCAGCTGCCGCGTGGGTGCCAAGCTGCCTTGCCTGACCCCATTCCCTGCACGCAACTGTCCCACACTGCATGGGGGGAGGCAGTGCGGGGAGGTGGGGGGGCTCTGCCACAAGCCCTCAGAGGCTCCAGTCGCCACTTCCAGATCTGGTGAGGGTGGGGCTTTTTTTCTTCTTCTTTTTTTTTTTTTTTTTTT